CAAAATGAGAAGACAGAAGTATTTGTCCCAAATCTAAGAACAGGACAAGGCCACAGCTATAAATCTAAGTGAAACAGAAATAAGTAACATGCCTGTTGGAGAATTTAAAGCAATGATGATAAGGATACTCACTGGACTTGGGAAAAGAGGGGAAGACATCACTGACAGCATTAACACAGAGATAATGAATAACATAGCAGAGATAAAGGGCTCAATAAATGAAATGAGAAACACATTCGATGGAATGAACAGCAGGCTGGAAGAAGCAGAAGAAAGATACAGTGACCCACAAAAGAGACTAATGGAAAGTCATCAAACTGAATAAAAGGAAGAAAAAAGAATTATGCAAAATGAGAACAGACAGGGACGCCTGGGTGGCTCAGTCAGTTGAGCGTTTGCCTTAGGTTCAGGTCATGATTCCAGGGTCCTGGGATCAAGTACCACATCGGGCTCCTTGCTCAGCGAGGAGCCTGCTTCTCCTTTTGCCTGCCGCTCCCCCTGCTTGTGCTCTCTCTCTGACAAATACATAAATAAAATCTTAAAAAAAAAAAAAAAAAAGAGAACAGACTTTGGGAACTCAGTGACTCCACCAAACATAACGTTTGTATTATAGGAGTCCCAGAAGAAGAAGAGAGAGAAAATGGGGCAGAGAATTTATCTGAAGAAATAATAGCTGAAAACTTCCTTAATCTGGAAGAGATTAAGGAGATACCAGATTCAGGAGGCACATCTTTTCTGACCCCAAAGCTGTGAAACTAGACATCAGTCACAAGAAAAAATGTGGCACTAAATACACAGAGATTAAATAACATGCTACTAAACAATGAATGGGTCAACCAGAAAATAAAAGAAGAAACAAAAAAGTACGTGGAGGGGTACATGGTAGGCTCGGTTGGAGGAGCGTGCGACTCCTGATCTCAGGGTTGTAAATTCAAGCCGCATGCTGGGTGAAGAGATTACTAAAAAAATAAATAAAACTTTTTAAAAAAGTACATGGAAACAAATGAAAATGAAACACAACAGTTCAAAATTGTTGGGACATAGCAGAAGCTGTTCTAAGAGAGAAATTTATAGCAATAGAGACCTACCTAAAGAAGACATGTCTCAAATAAACAACCTAACCTTACACCTAAAGGTGCTAGAGAAAAGAGCAAACAAAACCCAAACAAACCTCTTCCCCTCTCCCCCGCCAGCTCGTGATTTCTCTCTCACAAATAAATAAATACAACCTTAAAAAACAAAACAAAAACTCCCAACAAACAAAACTCCAGGACCACATGGCTTCACAAGTAAGTTCGACATACCAAAACCAGATAAAGACACCATAAAAGAAAGAGAACTACAGGCCAATATCTCTGATGAACATAGATGTAAAAATCCTCAACAAAATACTAGCAAACCGAATCCAACAATAAATAATCAGGGCACCTGGGTGGCTCAGTCAGTTAAGCATCTGCCTTTGGTCTCCCTCTGCCTCCTCCCCGCTGCTCATGCTTCGTCTTTCCCTGTCTCTCAAGTAAATAAATAAAATCTTAAAAAAAAAAAAAAATCATTCACCACGATCAAGTAGTATTTATTTCTGGGTTACAAGGTTGGTTCAATATTTGCAAATCAATTAGTATGATGCATCACATCAGTAAGACAAAGGGTAAGAACCTTATGATCATTTCAATAGACGCAGAAAAAGCATCTGACAAATACAACATCCATTCATGATAAAAACTCTCAAAAAAGTAGGTTTAGAGGGGACATACCTCAACATAATAAAGGCCATCTATGAAAAACACACGGCTAACACCATCCTCAATGGGGAAAAACTGAGAGCCATTCCCCAAGGTCAGGAACAAAACTTTTATTCAATATAGTAATACAAGTCCCAGCCACAGCAATCAGACAACTAAAAGAGACAAAAGGCCTCCAAACTGGTAAGGAAGAAGTAAAATTTTGACTATTGGCAGATGACATGATACTATATATTGTAAATATATGGTATGCTATATACATACTATCGTCAACATACTAAACAATACACAGTGTACATACTATACATGTGTATACATGTATATACACACTACATATATGTATATAATACATATATACGTATATAACCAGAAAGACTATCAAAAAACTATTAGAACTGATAAACAAATTCAGTAAAATCAAAGGAAACAAAACCAATTATATTTCTATACACCAATAATGAAGCAGCAGAAAAAGAAATTAAGAAAACAATCCCATTTACAATTGCACCAAAAACAGTAAGACACCTAGGAGTAAACCTAACCAAAGAGGTGAAAGACCTGTACTCTGAAAACCATAGAATACTGATGAAAGAAAATGAAAATGACCCAAAGAAGTGGGAAGACATTCCATGCCCATAGATTGGAAGAACAAATACTGTTGAAATGTCTATACCACCCAAAGCAATCTACAGATTTAATGCAATCCCTATCAAAATACCAACAGCATTTTTCACAGAACTAGAATAAACAATCCAAAAATCTGTACGGAACCACAAAACCCCAAAGAGCCACAGCAATCTTGAAAAAGAAAAGCAAAACTGGAGACGTCGCAATTCCAGACTTCAAATTATATTACAAAGCTGTAGTGATCAAAATAGTATGGTACTGGCACAAAAACAGACACACAGATCGATAGGACAGAAAATCCAGAAATTAACCCACAATAATATGGTCAACTAATCTTCGACAAAGCAGGAAAGAATATCCAAAGGAAAAAAGACTGTTCGACAAATGGTATTGGGAAAACTGGTCAGCTACATGTGAAAGAATTAAACTGGACCACTTTCTTACACCATACACAAAAATAAAATGGATTAAAGACCTAAATGTGAGACTTTAAACTATAAAAGTCCTATAAGAGAGCACAGGCAGTAATTTCTCCAACACAGGCCACAGCCATTTTTTTCCACACAGGTCCCTTCAGGGAAGGGAAACAAAAGCAAAAATAAACTATTGGGATTACATTGAAATAAAAAGCTTCTGCACAAAGAAGACATCAAAACTAAAAAGTAACTTATGGAATGGGAGAAGAGAAAACATATAAAGAACTGATACAACTCAACACCCGAGAAACAAATAATCCAATTAAAAAATGGGCATAAGACATGAACAGACATTTCTCCAAAGAAGACATCAAGATGGCAGACACATGAAAAGATGCTCAACATTACTGTTCATCAGGGAAATGCAAATCAAAACTACAATGAGATACCATCTCACACCTGTGAGAATAGGTAAAATCACAAGATGGTACTGAGGATGTGGAGGAAGAGGAACCCTCTTGCACTACTGGTGGGAATGCAAACTGTGGCAGCCACTCTGGAAAACAGTAAAAAGTTAAAAATAGAACTACCTTATGATCCAGCAATTGCACTACTGGGTATTACCCAGAGTATACAAGAACACTCATTCGAAGGGATACATGTTTATAGCAGCATTATTTACAATGCTGAGATATGGAAGCAGCCCAAGTGCCATCGACTGAAGAATGGATAAAGATGTGATATATAGAGACAATGGACTATTACTCAGCCATAAAAAAAGAATGAAATCTTGCCATTTGCAACAACATGGATGGAACTAGATAGTAGAATGCTAAGTGAAACTAGTCAGAGAAAGACTAATTGGATTTCACTCATACATGGAATTAAGAAACAAAACGAACAAAGGCAAAATAAAAAAGGAGACAAAATAAGAAATAGACTTTTTTTTTTAAAAGATTTTATTTATTTATTTGACAGAGAAAGAGAAAGAGCAAACACAAGCAGGGGGGAGCAGCAGAGGGAGAGGGAGAAGCAGGCTCCCCACTGAGAAGGGAGCCCCATGTGGGGCTTGATCCCAGGACCCTGGGATCATGACCTGAGCAAAAGGCCGAGGCTTAACTGACTGAGCCACCCAGGTGCTCCAAGAAACAGACTTAACTATGGAGAACAAACTGATGATTACCGGAGGGGAAGTGGGTAGGAGGATAGGTGAAATAGATGATGGGGATTAAGGAATACCTTTGTCATGATGACCATCAGATGATTAATATAAAAACTTTTTTAAATGAATGAATGAATGAATAAATAAATAAAAATGAAAAAATAATCTATACTAGTATTTAGAGATGAATTTAAGAGCCAAATCAGTTAACTTTTACATAATTTAAAAAAAATTCTTCTACTATTTGAAACCTAGAAAATGGCCATTTTCAAGGATGCTCTTACTTATTTAGGCTAGGAACACTTTAAGAGCAAGGACATAACTGTAGTTCTCCTTGTACCTGTAACCCCAAGCACAGTATACCTTGTATACCCCTTGCACACAGGAAATAATAAATGTTTAGGAAGCGTACATTTTTATTTATGGTCTTTATGGTCTTTCTTATAAACCACAAGAGTTTAGAAAACTGTCAGATATATCAACATGTTATGCATCAATTCCAAATTTTATGCAATGTCAAGAAAATCCTGAAAATTATAAAAATTCCCTGGAAAGATGTGTCAATTAAAAAAAAAAAATCTCAGGGCACCCGGGTGGCTCAGTCCTTAAGCATGTGCCTTCGGCTCAGGTCATGATCCCAGGGTCCTGGGATCGAGCCCCGCATCAGGCTCCCTGCTCAGCGGGAGGCCTGCTTCTCCCTCACCCACTCCCCCTGCTTGTGTTCCCTCTCTGGCTGTCTCTCTGTCAAATAAATAAATAAAATCTAAAAGAAAAAAAAAAAATCTCCTTAAGAATACAGTAATGTGGAAGGTTGGGTCATTATTCAACAACTGAAGATGTACCTCAGTAACTTAGTACGATGGTACGAATTTGTTTACTCTCAAATTCAAGCTCTTTGGGCAATTCTAAGACTAACCACCCAATACAGAACTAAGATATTAACCATAACATTATAGAGTGGTATTTTTTTCAAGAAATATATACAACATCCAAATTTATATAAAAATAAAGTGCTTTAAGGGATGCTACCATGATAAAAGGTGACCTTCTTACCTTCAATGGATCAAGTTCGTTCTCATAGGATTTGACAATTTCCTTTGATGATGTTAACTGGGCTTCCTTACTAGTAATCTGGTCACGTATCTCACAAGCTTTTTCCTTATTTTGCTTCAAATATTTTAGTTCTGTTTGACATTCTTTTACTTTCTGACCCTGTGTCTGTCGTACCTGCCGCAGTGTTTCCAAGGCTTTTATGTACCTTTGGAGATATTAAATAAAAATCAAACTTCTGTCCAAGGGAATTACAGTAGATTTAAACAATGGAATATTACATAGTTGTTAAGATGACATTTACAAAGAGTTATTAATAACTTAGAAAATGCTTATGATGTAATGGTAAATGAAAAAGTTACATATAAATTATCAACAGGTCAATAAAGATGTACAGAATGAAAACAGAAAGGAAATATGCCTAGTGGTTGTTATTGGATGACAGGTAATAACTAATGACTTTTTTACTTTTAAAACATTTTCTCTTTTAAAAAAGAAGCATCCAAATTGCAACCATGGCTCAGTAACTTAATGGGTTTTTATAAAGTCTCACAAAAGGTTACAAACCTTGTTGCTGAAAAAATCTCATCAAATTTTTGCTTCAGAGCCTTTCCTTCACTTAAAGGCCAATTAGAGTCTTCTTGGTGACAAAAAATGACATTATTTAGCACAGACCTGGAAACCCCAAGAGAACTTATCATCTCTCGGTCAATTTCTGCACACTTAGAGCTGACACTGACCTTCTCACCATGCCTACAGAAAACAAAAATCGAGAATTTATGTAAAAAAAAAAAAAAAAAACCCAAAACCCCTCCATTTGTACCTGTTTAATCATTCCTTTACACTGTACTTGTTAAAAAGAAAAAGAAAAGAAAGAAAAAGAAAAGAAAAAAGAAGAAGGAAAAAAAAAAGTCCTCTCATCCATCCCATTACAATAGGTTCCTCATGGTAAAAAGTTTAAATGATTCAGCAGTTCAATGATGAAAAAGTATGTAAAACAGCACAGGACAGGAAATGATGCCAGAATTAATTTTTTTTACATGTTTGGACTTCGAAATACAGTAATTTAAAGTATTTATAGACAATAAACAGAGGAAACTATCTTCCATCCCCAGAATTTAAAAATAAGAAAAGAAAGAGACTTAAAAGAATAAAACAGGATGATCCACAGCAGATAGGCAACAGTGCCTTAAACAAAGACATCTAAAGACTGTATTGTTTAGATAGGGACTGTTCAGTAAGAGACACACTATAAAGAGAGAACAAAGGCAAACTTTAGTGATGCTCACCTAAGCAAATCCAAGGAGGATTCTTAATCAGTAGACCTCAACTTCTAAGGTCACACTGACAAAGCAATCCAACAGACAGAAGTGTCTTAGGGTCTTTTAAAAGATAAGTTCCCCTCAAAAAATAAAAATAAAAAATAAATAAAAGATGAGTTCCCTACATAATTATAAGTAGGGCCAGGAGCATCCCTGCCCTTGGATTCCAAGAGATGTCTCAGTACCTTTCATAAGAAGGACATATTCAACATTTTCTTTCCTATCTTCTGTGCAGAATGTGTTAATAACTAGATTAGGTGGGCAGAAGTAGTGTCTGTATTTACTATCATTTATATATTCCAATATGTGCTTTGAAAATACTACACTGAATACACTGAGAATGTTTTGTAGGGGTATAGAATGGACACAGAACAGGAGGTTATTACATTAGACCAGGGAAAGATGATGGTAGCTTGAACTAGAATGGTCATTGCACAGATGGAAAGACTCAAGAGACATTTAGGTTAAATCCATAGGACCTGATAATGAGGTGTCAAGAGAGACAGGTTACTGGTTTGTGTCAGTGGACTGACGGGAGTGCCATTCACTGCGATGAGGAGCACTGCAAGAGTATCAGGTTGTGGGAGGTTTTTTAGGTGTCAAGGGGAAAGACTCATGAGCTTGGTTTTGAACTTTCTGAATCTGAGGTGTCTTTGAAAGAGCTGGTAGAACATGAGAAAGGCAGTTGCGTACATAGGTCTACAAATAAAGGTCTGGAGACCTAAATCTCTGAGTCACCTATGAATATACAGTAATTTGAGCAATGGATATGGATGAGATTAACTAGGAAGAGAATATAGAGCAGAAATAGGAGAGGATCTAGGAGCCTGTCCAACTCCTACCTTTAGTGGCTGGGTAGGATGTGGCCGTGAAAAAGAGAACAGTGTCGTGTCATGGAAGACTATTAAAGATTTTCAAGAAGTTATTAACAGCTACCATTTACTGAATTACAGTGCACAGAACAATGGCCCTTCAAAGATACTTACATTCTAATCCCTGGAATTTGTGAATCTGTTGGGTTACATGGCAGGATAACGATTATAGATGGAGTTAAGGTTGCTTATCACCTAGACCCTAAATAGAGGAATTACCCTGGATTATTTTGGTGGGTCAACACAATCACAACGGTCCTTAATTGGGAGAGGGAGGCAGAAGAGAAGGTCAGAGTAATGTACGGTGAGAACTCTGCCCACTATTGCTGGCTTTGAAGATGAAGGAGGGCCATGAGCCAAGGAATGTGGGTGGACTGTAAAAGGGCACGGAAATAGATCTTCCCTGGATCCTGCAGAAAGGAACACAGCCCTGCCAACATCTTGATTTTAAGCCAGTGAGACCCAATTCAGATTTATAAATTACAGAACTATAAGATAATAAATGTGTATTGTTTTAAACCACTAAGTTTGTGGTTTGTTTTGCAGTCATGGAAAACTAATACGTGAGCTCTTACTACCTGTTAAGTGTTTTATATGCATTAGCTCAATCCTTAAAACAGCTAAGATATATGCAGTAATAATGAATCTCCATTTTACAAATAAAAAAACACAGGCTTGCTATGAGATCTATTTTGTAAAGCAATAGCATTATCCTAATTAATGCAGAAGGTACCTGTGACCTTAGTTAGAACTGTTTCAGTAGAGGAATAAAATTGGGCTGGAGGAGGAGTGAGGAGGAAGAACAGAAATGGAGACAGTATCAACAACTCTTCTTGAGAAGACTGGCTGGAAAGGGGAAGATGGAGGCAGACAGTAATTGGCATGGAATGAAATTCAAGGGGTGTGGGAGAGACCTGAGTGTGTTTACATGCCAAGGAAACAAACCTGCTTAAGGAGCCAGTAGCTAAAATCCTGTCTCTAGCAAATAATAGGTGCTAAACATTATTAATTAAAGGAATTACTTCATTAGTTGAACAAATAAATGAACAAGTAAAAGGGAGGGGCAAGGGGACAATTAAGTAATGTGCTCAACAAGGATAACAAAGCTTTGAAGCCAGGGCAGGCTAATTCCAAAATCCATTCCCATTACAACATACCTCCCTCCAACAAAGGTAACAGTCGAAAGGGACGAATTCTCTCTTTCCTATTGGTATGCTTCTCATCTCACCCACTCCTACACATGATACTAGCATTTTCCATTCATTCAATCTATATTTGAGTGATTGTGCACCTTCAACTGAGCAACTGTTCATAAATTACTCAAAGGAATGTAGCATTATCACTAAATCTTTAATGGGATCATTCTGTTTAACTGATAAATAGATCAAACAACAAATGTTCATTGCGGATGAAGCTATACATATGAAGGGGCAGGGAGTACACAGGAACTCTACTTTCTGCTCAGTTTTGCTGAGAACCTAAAACTGCTCTAAAAAATAAAGTCTGTTTAAAAAAATTAACATGCTCCCCTAAAATAACGGGAAAAAACCCATTAGGTTCTTATGAACCTAAATGACTGAAAATGAACAGATACTCAAATATAAATAAACACCTACTTTGTTCTAGTAATGACTCCTTCCAGGGTTTTAAATTCTGTCTTTTTGCTCTTCTGAGTGCACACCATAGACCTCTGTACAGCTATAAGTTCTCCATTGACATCACGAAACTGCAGACGAATCTGGGCTCTAACATCTGTTTCTTGAGCAACCTTTGAAGATAAACGGAGAAAAATTATGCTACCTTAGTAAGTATCAGAACATTCGTTCTAAAAGAAAAGACACAAGCAATCTTACCAAAAATTAGAACAAAAAAAAGAAAAACTTAAACATCCAAAATGAGTGACAGTTTTACATGCTACTCAATATATAGGAAGAAAAGGATACTCTTTAATTGATCTACTAAAATTGTTTATTTTCTGTTATTCAGTATCATTAGGAGATCAGGTATGTAGATTTTTCAAATAAATAAATTTTACCTTCTTATCAAAAGTGTTTTCCAACAGATTTTTAAAAACATACACAAGCTTACAGAAAAGTAAAAATACAATATACAGAACTTTTCTCCCCTGAACCAATTGAGATTAAGTTGCTGATTTGATGTCCCATCAATATTTCCTACAAAATAGGGACACTGTCAAACATAAAAATCAGGAAATTTAGAGTGATGTATTACTACCATATGGTCCCCAGATTCCATTCAAGTTTTGCCGATTGTTCCAATATGCCCTTTACAACAAAAGGATTATATAGTGTATGACAGGTCAGAATTATATACTGTATTACACACTGTTCAGAATTACATATTGTTATCATGCCTCTAGTTTCTTTCAGTCTGGGACAGTTCCTCAGATTTTCCTTGACTTTCATGACTGATAACTTTGAAAATTATAAAACAGTATTTCAGAGACTATTTCCCAAAATTTGGGTTTGTCTAATATTTCCTCATGACTAGAATAAGATTATGCACCTTTGGCAGGAGTATTACAGAAGTGACGTGTGTTCCTTTCATTGCATCTTGTCAAATGGGACATGATTTCAATTTATCCCACTATTGGGATAATGGTGGTATCTGTCACACTTCTCTACCATAAAATTATTTTTTATACTTCACTATTAATAAATATTTGGGAGATACATGGAGACCATGTTAATATCTCATACCTCATCACACTTTCTTCCACTAGTTTTAGCAACTATTAATGTTTCTTACCTGAATGAACTATTTCTATGATAGCTATCAAATAGTAATTTTCTAGTTCCATTATTTCTCCTACATTTATTTGTTAAGATTCTACTATAAGGGTTTTGTCTTTTCCTCATTTTTTATTTTCATTTAAAAAAATATTACTATAGACTCCTACATTCCTCACTTGGACTCCAATTCCCAAACAGGATGCCACAGTTAGCTTCTGTGGATGCCTTCCTCCCTCAGCTTCACCAATTGGCTTATGTACTGAATGCATTAGGGATGAAGGAAGGTGCTGAGTTTTTACCATGAATACTGAATTTATTTTATTTTGTTTTTAAAGATTTATTTATTTTAGAGAGAGCGTGAGCTCAAGCACAAGCGGGTGGAGAAGAGGAAGAGAATCTTCAAGCAGACTCCCCGCTGAGCAGGGAGCCCACCATGGGGTTAGATCTCATGACTCATGAGATCATGACCTGAGCAGAAACCAAGAGTCAGATGCTCAGCAGACTTAGCCACCCAGACACTTCATGAATTTAAATGTTTTTGTACTTACTGATGCTCATATAATTTTTCTCCTTTATTCTGTTAATCAGTGGCAAACTACATTGATCGGTTTTCAAATGTTAAACTTGCATTCCTAAGATAAACCCAACTTATTCATGGTATATTATTTCTATTTGCATATTAATGAATTTGGTTGGTTACCATTTTCCTATGGATTTTTGCATTTTTGTTCATCAGTGGTATCCATAGTTCTCCTGTAATGTCTTTGGTTTTGGTATCAGGGTAATGTTAGCCTCATAAAATGAATTGGGACATATTTCCTCTGCCTCTCTTTTCTGAAAGTTTGTGTAGAATTGACATTATTTCTTCCTAAAATGTTTGGTAGAATTCAGGGAAATCATCAGGTCCTGAAGTTCTCATCATGAGGTTTTAAACTGTTAATTTCTTCAATAGGAATATTTTTTTCTTGGGTGACCTTTAGTAGTTGGGTGTCCTTAATAGAATTTGTCTATTTCATCTAAGTTGAATGTACTGGCATAAAGTTGCTAACAATATTGTCTTATTACCTATATAGTGCCTGTAGGATCTGTAGTGATATTGCCTTGTTTACTCTGAATATTGATAATTTCTGTCTTCTTCTTCTTGATCATGCTGCTTAGAGGTTTATTAATTTCACTTTTTTTTTTTTAAGAAAGAAACAAGGTTTCACTGGTTTTCTCTGTTGTCTTTGTATTCTATTTCACTTATTTTTGCTCTTATCTTTATTTAATTTCTCCCCTTTGCCTATTTTGAGTTTAATTAGCTTGTCTTTTTCAAGCTTCTTAAGATGGAAGCTCTCAGGTCATTAATTTCAGATATTTTTTCTTTTCTAACACTTGATTCTATAAATTTCCTTTTTTTTTTATTATGTCAGTCACCATACAGTACATCATTAGTTTTTGATGTAGCGCTCCATGATTCATTGTTTGCGTATAACATAGTGCTCCATGCAATATGTGCCCTCCTTAATACCGATCACCAGGCTAACGCATCCCCCACCCTCCTCCCCTCTAAAACCCTCAGTTTGTTTCCTGGAGTCCATAGTCTCTCATGGTTCATCTC